CTTTGATTTGTGATCAGTGGCCTAGGAGGCTGCGCGTGTAGAGTTTGAAAAGGGCAAAAGCAGGGCCGATGTCTTGGCCATGGTTGTCCCGTGGTTGCTGTTATTCAACCGCCTTCTGCATCGTTGCTGTTGAGAATGATGTTTGGCGCGATCCATTTTAAATTGTGTTCTTTACCAAGGATGCTATGCAGACCGAGAAGCTGCGCCTCCTCCCAACTCCGGCTGAGCCTGCTGGGCCTGAGGCAACCACGGCTGAGGACACCGAGCCCAATGAGGGCGAGGAGGAAGAACCAGTGGCAGAGGATCAGGTGGTTGCTGAGGATGTGGAGTGAAACTCAACGATCCAAATTTTCTTTCGTGACCGATCGTGCGTGGCCGTGGACGGCCTGTGAGTCAAAGACTTGCTGTGGCAGTGGAGCCGGATGAGACCACGTTTTGTGAAAAAAATTCTGCTCGCTTGGCAAGGCCCACCTGAGGGTTGAGTTTTGGTGAAGCTATGTCAAGCGCCCGACGAACGCAACGTTGTTACGAGTCGTGTGTGTGTGTGTTGTGACTTACCTTTAGGGTGTGGAACAGTGTGGTGTGCAGAACATGTAAGAAAATTAATAAGGAACCCCTTTGAACATAATACCTTTAACTTAGAACTAGAAGGCAACGCCCAGAACTTTCTGTTAGTTAGATGAGGTGTCGGGGCGCATACCAAATCAAAGTTGATGCCAGAACACGCGTCAGCGCACATGTCAGGCAGACTCATTCCTACCAGTATTGATGCCAGAACATTGTGCGTCCGCGCACGTGTCAGGCAGACTCATTCATACCAGTATGGAAGCCAGAACATTATGTGCCAGTGCACATGTCAGGCAGACTCAATGATCTTGGGCAACGCATACCAGACATCCAGACATACTAGAACATATCTCCTAATTGTGGAGACCTGGTTAGGTTTTGGAGGCCCAGATACAAGGAAAAAAACTTCCTCCCGAAAGGAAGTGAGGGCCCACCTCACACAGTGGTACCACGAGGACCCACCTCGCCTCTATCGGCCGAAAGGAGCTGGCGAGGCGGAGATCCTAGGTGCACACGGCCACAAATGCTCAAACTGAGAAAGAATTGAGGACATCAACTGACATGAGAACCCCATGCATGACAACGGCCCTGAACCCCGGGCCACACAGCATTCCTGCTGACTTTGGGATGACCCCCAAATCTAAAAATTACAACACAGCAAAAGACTCGCTGACCCACAGGGCTCTTTCCGCTGGCGGCGCGCTCTCCGGTCGCCTCGGTAGGCTACATCACATGACGCAGTCTACAAAAAGGGGCGTCTACGGAGGCCGCCGGCTCTTATGAGATGCAGCCACTCGCCGACCGTCAGATCGTTGGGCTGCTCAGCAGCTCAGCTTCGCGCTTGCCATGACGCCGGGGCTTTGCTCCAGCACTGTTCGCAAACGGGGCGGGCGAGCGTGCTCGCTTCCAAGAAGCTGCTGAAGAAGTGGGCGTCCTTGAGGCGCTGCTGGACTCGAGCTTCTTGCTTGAATGCACACAGGGCCACACGGCCTTCAGTGCACAGGTGGATGTTTGAACGATCCGAAGCAAGATATCCAGCCGGCTGAGGGTGCACTGGTGGCAATGACAAAGTGCGCCCAGTCTTGTACAGCCACTGCGCCGCCGTGCGATCGCGGCAGAACATTGTGGAACTCCACACAAGGCCGCATCTTGGTGATCTTCTCGGCTGCTTCATCCACTGAGACTCCCATCATGAGCGCATAGATCAAGGCCGTGCAAGCAGGGGCTCGATGCTTACCCGCCATGCAATGCACCAACACGGAATCACCGCAGTGCAGGCTCTGGTGAATGATAGGCCATGCAGCCCGAAACTCGTGATCCATGCGCTTGCTCCCCATCTGAACCTTCATGATACATGCCTGTGGCAATGTCACACCGCCCCGACCCTCGGGGTATTGTGGCAGGCAGGCGATCTGAAGATGGGTCTTGGGATAGTACTGCACTGTCTCTGCGATGGGAATGCCCGCTAACCATAGCTGTCCACCTGACCGTGTAGTCATGATCAGGGTAGGAGCCAGGGTATCACGCCCCTCAGACGTGGCTAGACGATCCCAATGAGTCTGGTGAGGACCTGTCTCCAAGGGGGCACCCTGGCGATGGCTCCCTGGGTCGTTTCTTGGCCGAAGTGGCAATCAATTTCGGCGGGACTGCTTTGTGTGGTGGTGCTTGTGGGGTCTTGGGCCGCGGTGAGGGTGCGGCAGGAGCTTCAGGCCGAGCACTCGGCTGGGGCGAATCTTCTCGCCTGCGCTTGACGCTCACAGTGGGCTTAGCCTTGGACTGCGTGGAGGTCGTAGCCGATGCTGAAGACGCTCGAACTGGAACCGGCGTCGCTGCGGCCAAATACTTCTTCTCCGTGCAAACGAATGCCCCATGGCTGCCACCACAAGCCCGACCCTGGGCCAAAAGGACAGCGCACATGTGAGCATTGCCGCAGACCTCTTCCCCCTCGTCGCAACCCGAAACCTTCTGAAAGGCCCCGCAAAGGCGGCGACCATTCTTCAGGAAGGCCACGGGCCCTGGAGAACTGGAGATGGGTCTTCAGCGACTCCTTGGTTGGCTGGGCGGCATAAAGCGTCTCCTTGTCCCTCGCTATAGACAAGGCGAGCTTCTCTTTGGCCACCTCGCGAAATCCATCCAAGTCGGAGGGGAGCACCTCCTCCCAGAAGCTGTGACCCTCACAGCTGTGAGCCACTGAGGTCGCCAGGATCTTGTTGCGGAGAGACTGGGCATAGCGGGCCGACGAATAGTGAAGCGCCATCCCAGCATCAGCCGGTTCCTTTGACCGGTCTTGCCAATCGCCCAGGGAGCAAAGGTCTGAGGAGGACATGTTCAGAATATGGCTCACTGTTGGAAGCATCCGCCTCCAAGAGTAAGTGGTCAACTGTTCAGGGTTGTCCAAAAACTCGGCGAAGATCGACTGGCATAGGCGCTGCGCCTCAGCGATGTTCCAAGGCGTCCCACGCCTATCAAAGCAAATGCCAGAACTCTTCTGGGCCACAGGTGAAAGGGCCTTCCACTCTTTGAGCCACTCGGAGGTCCAGTTGAACCCGGAGGCAAACTCAGCGGGGGCGCACCAATCAAAACCACCTCGGGCGTGACGTTGCTTGCCCTTGCGACAATGGCCATGAAACACCATCAAACTGGCCCGACGAATGGTTGACCGACGAAGGTGTTGGTACCTCAAGCAACCCGTAGCCACAAGCCAAGACCCGAGAAGGCATGTCCACCGCGGGTCCCCCCCACGGCACATGCTCTCGATGCGCTCCTCCAACAGCTGCAGCATGCCGGGCTCCACAACAAGGGCTTGGCTCTTCGTTGAAGTGGCCTTCTTCTTCAACTCAGGGGAGATGCGAAGCCGTCCGATGTCCCAAGAAGCTCCAGCATGCTTGCACAACCAACGAAGCGCATTGAGCGCGCGGGTGGGGGCCATCGTCCCCTGATGCAGCAAGTTGTCCATGTCCACAAAGGCCGGAGGAAAAGATCTCCCTCTGTGGAGCAGTTAAGGCGTGGAGCTCACCGTATGCGCGGAGAGCATTCTGAATCGTCACCGACTCAGACTCCGCAACCTTGGTTTGCGCCAAGCGAAGGACGGAAGCCTGCCAATCGCGCTGCAGTGAGCAGTCCATCGGGCTTCAATGCACCCACGGTCAGGAACACCTTCTGTAGAGCCAGGACCTGGCGCTGGATCGACTCGGGCTGATTCTGCACCCGCTCGTGGAGGGGTACCCCCGCCTCAAGTGGAGCTTCCTTCCTCTTCCGAGCGAGCGGAGGACGTGTATCCGGCACCGGAGGTCCCCCTTTCGTCCTTCTCGTAGCCTCGCTCACGCCGCCATGTGACGGCGCGAGCTCCTGCAACACGGGCCAAGCTGTCTTCGGCCCGCCAGCCTACCGAAGAGGCAGGATCATCCCCTGGAGCCTCCACGGCTTCAGCAACCTGCGCACGGTATGCCATGGCTTGCGCACCCACGGAACTATTCGCGGCAGGCCGGACAGATTTGGAGCACTGGGAAACAGGCGGCGCACACTCCCTTGATACAACCAAGGCACTGCCGATAAGTGGGATCACCACAGCCGCAACATGCTGGAGGAAACTCCGTCTCTCCGTGGATTGAGGACCCCAACCATCCACGAAGGGCTCGATGGGCACGAATCTGCGGGTAAGGGCGTCCAGGTGGCGCGGCAGGTGCTCGATGTCTGGCAGTGGGGCACGAAAGGTTGGACCACAACCCATGTGGTGATCCCAAGATCCAGTGTCGCATGTAATAGAGGACTTCGGATTGAGAGGTCTGCAGGGGCAAGAGGTCAGGAACTTTCTGCATAAACTCCCATAAGTAGGATGGCACAAAATTGTCTGCAGAGTACGGGGTACGGTAGGCTGCAACAAGAGGAGGTCCATCGAGGCGTCCAACCTGGCATGCCTATCCCAGGCTTGCTGAGGAGTGAACCCAGGTGGCACGGTTGTCCCGCGCCTCTTCCAAATCCCGACCCACGGGAAAACAAAGCCCCCTCGCCCCTGATCGCAACGTGGGCACACGCAGGGGAAACCTGTTGGCCCGTCCCCCAATCGCGTAGACGGAGGCATATGTTCAAATAGAACCACCGAGCCCCAAAGCCGCAAGGCGCCTGCCCGGTCCCCCCGGGCCAGAAGAGCATCGACCTGGCGACGGAACTCGATGAACGCGGCGGACGAAAGCACCTCAGCGTCCGTGAACATGACAACATGCACACCGACGATATGCTGGGAAGCCATCCACAGCAACCACAGCAAAACTTAAGTAGAACAGAAACTCCACTGTCCCACTTTTGGCTTGAGCCAAAATGGACAGTGTAACATATGTAATGAATACTGTGCACCCAAACCTGCCCAAAGCTCGACACAGTTTTAAATACTTACTGTATATTTAAAGGATGTCGCTGTGCTTCACGCTTCAGTCCTTCAGCTGGGAAGCTTGATGGTGCGACTCAAATGGCCACTCTGCATCTTCAATTGCAGCGCCTGGCCTTTTGTTCCAGCGACCTGTGAGCACCATGAAGCCAGGGTGAGAGGCTTCTGTCCGGCAAAAGGCTTCTGCAAACGAGTGAGCACCGGGAGCTGTGGAATGGTCATTGAACAAGTGAGCAAATTGCTTTTGACATGTCAAAAGCAAGCGGGCTGGGCCATGCCTTTTGTCAAGCCAGAAATTGTGCCAATCTGGATGTGCAAGAATGTTCACGTGGGATCTTCCAAACATGCATGGCGGCCTTCCAATCTGGTATTTCTCTGGAGTTTCCAGAACAAAAGCTGTTGGAACGGAGCTCTCTTCAGCAATGTCAGAATGCAAGTTTCCAAGTCTTGCCACTGTGAGTGAGTGTTCATCAGCGTCTGTCACATGCCGAGGACCTTGATCTCCTTCAAGCTCCATTCTCATTTTCGACTCAATGAGCCAAGGCAATGTGTTACGGCAAGGTGAATGTGCCAAGATGCCACTCCCCTGACTTTGTTCCAAATATTCATGCCTTTCATCTCGATCTTTGGTTCGGTGTATGGCTCGCATGGGGCTTTTGCTGATCAGATGGATACCCGAGACCAAGCATCCAACTGCTTCGCCCAAATTGTCAGCCCTCCCTCTCCAGACTACCTGCCTTCTTTCAGAGTCTACTGGTGGCTGGAAAACTGGCGAAAGGCTCCTTTCCTCCCTATCTTGACAACTGCTCAAACTTGCATCTGAGTTCAGATCATCCATGTTGGTTTCAGCTAAGGTGCTGTGGAAGCTTGGAGTTGCATCTGCTCTGTCTGCTCTGTCTCTGAATCGCCCTGGCAAACTGAGAAGTCGACCTCTCGGCCTTGGGCTCGGTGAATCAGGCTCCCGACGTCCAAAGTGCGACATCTTGCCAAACAGCGTTGGAGTCTGCAGCAGCAGACCTGGAACAAGTTAGCGGTCTACATGGCCGTACCGAATTGGGCCACGACTACATACACCAACAACACAAAGCAATTATAGTATGATACAAAAAAAAATCGTCCGACAAGCAAAGATTCTGTCACAGAAATCCACCTGTGGGTTGCTCCGGTTGCCCAAAACGGACTTGTGCTGATGTCTGAGAAGTCAATGAGATTGGCTCCTTGCAAAACCGCTGTGCTTAGGCCTTGCCACCTTGCCATGCACCTGTATTGTTCACCACGCAAATGGCAGGGGAGATCCGCTGAACTGGGATCAAACTGTAGCCATGTCATGAATCTGGTTCTTCTAAGTCGCGGACAGATCGAGGAGAATCCTGGAGCCGTCCACCAAATACATTGCCTAGCGCCTTTTTGGTGGCATTCAACTCGGCCAAGAGCTCCAGCAAATAGGGGTCTTGCACGAGCTAGTGGCAGATTTATTCATGCCAAGCTTACAAAAGCTTTGATGCTAAAATGCAAACTTTGTTTGACATCCTCAACTGCTGCTTGTTAGTATGCCAGCACAAACACTTACAATGAAATTTAGTTGCAGCTGCCTTTTCGCCCGAAGCTGACGCAATCCTTGCCTTCATGCCTTCATACATTACCTGTGAATTGTCCAATTGTGCTATATATATAGTATGCAAAACAGGCTGCTCCTTGGTTGTTAATTTCAACAAGAACACGCAACACACACACACACACCTAGAGTTTCATCTCCCGCTGTTGAACCTTCCGCATTTGCAGCAGGAGCCATGCTGAACACGTCTTTTGTGTTGAATATGGGTCTTCAGCCTGTCTCAACTGTTTCTGAAAACATATGTCGGCGCTTGCTTGGATGTAAGCGATGATGCTGAGCGTTGCTAGCATAGATTCATTATGTATGCATAGGTCAACTACTTCATACGCCAGCAAATTGACCATCGCCTGTAAATCTCGTAGTTGGGTTCTTTGCACGGTGTCGAAAGCATGCAATGTCTTCTGAGAATTTGGGCCTAGCATGCGACAGTACTGGGGGGCCTCTGCTCTCACTTCACGATGCCGGCCAATTGAAAAAGGCTGCCAAAAAAGTACTTGTCATTGTTCTTACACAATGCAACATCGACTTCTGAGCAAAGTGGCAGGACCTCTGCTTCGTTAAAAAAGGCGAAAGGCAAAACCTATGCAAAATAACTGGTTTGGTACAACTTTGCAGCGACTTGGATCAGAGTCAAAACTTTCAACTTGGGAGGGCATGTTTTTTGCCCTTGCAAAGGTTTTCCCCATGTGTTATTTGTCCTGTTGTGTGTTGCTCAGGGCTTTGCTCAAAATCCACGAATGGCAACAGTGCAACAAACGGACGTGACATCCAAAACGGAATCTATGTTTGCTTGTCCTACCTAATGAAATATTTTCCCGGCAAGAGACCCCAAACAGTGTGTGTGAGGTGATCTAGACGCATTGGGGTCCAGAGAGGTGATGGCGGTGATGAAGTGAATGTGGGTGTGTGTGAGTGTGGGTGAGAGGGAGTGTGAGTGCGAGTGAGAGTGGGAGAGTGAGTGTGAGTGCGAGTGTGAGTGAGAGTGAGTGTGGGTGAGAGTGAAAGTGAAAGTGAGCGTCAGTGAGAGTGAAGGCGGGTGTTAGTGAGTGTGGGTGAGTGAGAGTGTGTGTGTGTGTAACCCTTGGAATCAAAGGGAACCTTTAGGTTTGGAACAGGGGGCGTGACGGTCGATTTCCTAGTCACGCCAATGAAGCTATGGAAATCGACTGGATGGAAGTTTGGACGCAAACTTCCGTACCTGTTCCGCTAGTTAGGAAAACAGGAGGAAATGGTACTCGACACACTTGTGTGTCGGTGCCTTTCCTTCTGTTTTCCTCTAGACTACTCTACAGGTTTGCAGGTAGGCCTCCTAACTTTGTAATGGGATCTTTAACCTGAACTTTGGCCTCCACCCACTAGATTGGCCCCAAAGGGTTTGCTGTCTTGTGGTTTTTGTGTTTCTTGTAACCTGGTAGCACTGGCCTCCAACTTGGTACCCTGGCCTCCACCCACTAGCGATGACCTCCAACCTTGGCTGTCTTGTGTTTTTGTGCTTCTTGTGCTTTTTGTAACCTGGTAGCACTGGCCTCCAACTTTGTACCCTGGCCTCCAACCTACTAGCGATGACCTCCAACTTTGCTTCTTGCTGTCACTTTGTGTCTATGGTCCACCGCCTACTAGCGATGGCCTCCAACCTTAGGTCTTGGCCCCCAACAGCCTTGCGTTGGCCTCCAACCCAAAACCGATGGCCTTTAACCTACTATTTTCCTGACACCTCAGGCCTTTTTAAAAACTTAGGCCCTTAGGCTGGCGTGTGGCGCCGCGTTCACAGCAGTACGCATTTCTATAAGTGTGTTTCTCCTAGTGAGAGTCCGGGATGAGCCCGTAGAGTGCCTCCGGCTTTGGGAACGTAGGTGTCCGGAGCGGACAGCAGGAGGCTTATGCCAAAGTTATTTGCCAAGACTTGTCGGATTATTGAATTCCAAGTTGGCTCATGCCTTTACGTGACCGCAGCGGTCAAAGCAGCCAGCCACTTTAATTGGCAGGGCACAAGGTGACCACAGCGGTCAAAGTACTTTTGAGGTTCATTGGAACCTGTGGAGAACTTAACCCCCCCTCCTCCCGCTTCCCTCTTTCTTTCTTTGGTTTCTGGTGTTTTCCTGAATGAAATACTCAGGATCGCCCCTCTCTTTCTTTGGTGTGTCCCTGCCTTTTTTTTTCTTTCTTTCTTTCTTTCTTTTTCTTTCTTTCTTCTTCTTTCTTTCTTTTTCTTTCTTTCTTCTTCTTTCTTTCTTTTTCGTTCTTTCTTTCTTTCTTTTTCGTTCTTTCTTTCTTGCTTTTTCTTTCTTTCTTTTTCTTTTTCTTTCTTTCTCTTTCTGTCTGTCTTTCTTTCTTTCTGTCTTTCTTTCTTTCTTTCTGTCTTTCTTTCTTTCTTTCTTCCTGTCTCTCTCTCTCTCTCTCTGTCTTTCTTTCTTTCTTTCTGTCTTTCTCTCTCTCTTTCTTTCTTTCTTTCTTTCTTTCTTTCTTTCTTTCTTTACGGTAGGCACACCCTCTTTTTCACACACAACTTGCCAAGCGTTGTCGTCAACCTGCAATCCTCTGCAGGATATTGCGTTGGGTTACCTGCGCTGGCATGAGACCTACAGTGGTTTACGTCCGGTCGCTCCGGACACTCCCGCCCTTGGCGTAAATTAGAATGGTCTGAAGGCAGTCACGGCACTTGAGCCGAAACATTCGTCAGTTCAACCTGAACATGTTACATTTCTGTCCAAGGTTGTTGTCGTTGCCACGGCACGGGCACGCTCTTTTGCACACATTTAACTTGCCAAGTGTTGTCGTCAACCTGCAATCCTCTGCAGGATATTGCGTTGGGTTGCCTGCACTGGCAGGTCTGCCACAGTCAGACCTACAGTGGTTCACCTCCGGTCGCTCCGGAAACCACTCTCAATGCACTTCAAAATTCCCAACGCACCAGAGAAATTCCATGACCAAACCAGAAAACAAGACACCAACAAAACCCAACACAACACAAACACCAAAACAGCAAAACAGCAGAGTTTCAGCTCTGAGGGAACTGCGGCAACTAGCTATCTGGGCCTCGAATTCAATATCAAGCTGCTGTCCATGCCTGTGAGATGGCGTTGTGTGCTCAGGCCTACGTTCGGACCGGCCTGGTCACAGGCGCTTTCAAACGGAGTGCTCGAAAGCACTCAAGCATCTGTGAAGGGGCACGATGCCTATTCGGCAGCCTGCAAAGGAAGAGCTATGCCTTATGGTTCCCTCGGAGTGCCGGCCACGCTGAACTTGCACGGATGCAATGCTGTTCTGGCCTTGGAAAACAGCCTGCTCCTGGTCACAATCATTTCACACAATTGCAATGGCAGGATAAACTGTGGCCTGTGGTGGGCAGTTTGCCGATGCTGGTCATTGCTCGCAAGTGCGCCCATCGGGGCCTGACGATCTCCCCAAAGGGAGGAGTCGCGCACACTTCCAGCAATCTCCTTAACAGCTAAGCCTACGGGAGTGCGAGATGCTATCCAGGAGAGATAACGTTCCTATTCGTCAGTTGGCTCGCCTCCTTCATGCATGGCCCTTGTGAAACATTGTGAAACATGAAAAGGCTCGCATGGTGCCATTTGCCCACTCTGTACAAGATTGGCAGGGTACGGACCCTCGCCAGGCGAGGAACCAAGGTTCTCACCCGGGCGCCAATCAGCTATCTTGCCTACCGTCGCGCGCGGACACCAGTCGAAAGCTAAGGCTCCCAACCGGGCCAGCTCACTAGCAGTGCACAAGTATGGGCATGTTGTCTGGAGTCATCACCGACTCTGATCGGCTATCTTCTCTTCCACTGAGGCTGAAGAGGGCAGTCGAATTGCTTCAGTGTGGCTTACTTGCCGCCAACACTGTACGCTGCGGCTCGTATGGACTTAAGCAAGGCCCAGCTTTATCTCGCTAGACCCTCAGCCTGGATCTCAAATTCTCTGCAGCCACAAAGGCCATCGCCATGCGGGGCACAATTCACGTTGGCTCTGGCCAACGACGACACCTGATTGGCACTTCTCTCTTTTGCCTAGGTTGGAGATTGCAGTCGAATTGCTTAAGTGTGGTGCGCTTGCTACGTAACATCTACGCTGTGGCTCTTATGGACTTAAGCCAAGTCCCAACAATCTGAGGCCACATGGCCGCTCTTCCCGCAGTGTTTGCAGCGTTTTGGTTTGGGGCACTCTGATTGCATATGACCAGGGTCTCCGCAGTTGAAACAACCCTTGCTTCGAATGGGAGAACCTTGAACAGCATGTGCTCTCTCCATGGTTCCAGTTGCACGACTGCGAATGAAATACTCTGTCACTGCTCGCCAAAGCTGCTGGACAGTCCCTGCACCGCTGATGAGTTGCACATGTTCAGCTACCTTTTCAGGCAAACTCCTCAAATACAACAAAAAGTGATCCCCCTCATTGAGGATCACTCAAATCAACCAACGCTCTGGCCATCACACTTGCCTCAAGCATACTGTGAAATGATTCGATCTCTGTCTGAATTACTCAAAGAACATCAATCAAGCCATCAATTGAAGGTTTCTTGACAGTGAACTTCAAAACAAGCTCTCTGTAGTAAAGGGCCTCCTGCCCACTGTAAATTGAGAACTCGCGTCGAATCAATCTGAAAAGCTCGTAGCCATCGGCATCAGCTGCCCCACTGGCCATGATTTGATTTCTGATCATATGTTCGATCTTGGGGTATCCTGTAAAGGCCTGCTGAATCAAATGGAAAAGTCGCCTTGCCCTGAGCTCCTGGTCTGCTCCTCGCAAGACTATAGGCTCTTCCATGCGTAGTGCCTCTCTCAGTTCTGGGCCGTATTGGTCGTGAATGAGGCACAACCAACCTCCTAGCTTCTCTGCCCAATCTCTGAACCCTGACAGTTCTCGAGACCTACTTCCCCACTGCTTGTATGAAGGAAGGGGCATTGCTGGTATCCATTTGGTGTCCATTGTAAGTCGTTCACGCTCTTGAATGCCAACATGTGGTTGCTGGGGTTGTTGTTGCTGTTGCTGGTTTCCTCGCCTCATCACATCAATCAAAGTCTGTCCCAACTGCAACTGCTGGGCCATAAGGCCTGCCAAAACTGGATCTACTCCCTGAGTATGTGGGGGTTGAGGTGGAGCAAAATGACCAGATCCTCCCTGATTCCAGTCCCAATTTGGTGGAAGTCCATAGGTCGCACCGTGTCCACAAGAACCTTGTCCAGAAACATCCTGTCCAGGAACAAAACTGT